AAAAAAATGACTAGAATCATAATGGAACTGAAAAAAGAGATTGTTGAGAAATATGAAGGTGGGACGCGTGTTCGAGATTTTAACTGTTGCATATCGCATTCTGAGAACGACGATATCGACAATTGTGAAAAATAAAGACATTATTAAATCAATTTCTAAACAGAGATCGAAGACATTAGATCATGTTGAGAAATTGCTTTTGCTTTGGATAACTGAAAAAGTGTGCTGGAGACATCGTATCAGAAGCAATTATTTGCAAGAAAGCTAAAAAGATACATGCTGATCTCATGAAAAATCAAGCAGGAACTAGCCAGGAAAGCGAGATGTTTAAAGCCAGCCATATTTGTACATGAGAACGGTTTAATCATTTTTCCATTACTTCTTATGGAAAAGGTTGGTTTGGTATACGTCCTATTCAGTATAAGGCCAAACATCAGGAACGGATTAAGGACATATACTGAGGTTCCACTGTACATTAAACCATTGACAAGAGATAATATTTTGTATAAAAGAATGTTTTAAAATTAATTTTAATCTCTACTTTATAATTAACTAGCTGCAAGGACCCGCTTCGCTGGGTTTTTAAAAAGTAACGATAGTGAAGATTAAGATAATTACATTATAGCCAATCTTACCCGTTTTCACAAAATGCAAGAATTAGGTCCCCCATTTCCAGACTAATTAGAGACCTGGTCCCGATTGTATTTCTGAACGTCTCCTGTTCACGTCCGGTCAAACGAACTATTTTCAACGTTTCTGGAACGTTTACAATCGTTCTATAATCGAACCAATATTCGAATTTTATGTTCGAATTTAATTCGAACAAATTCGAACAAAACATTCGAAATAGAAAGCCACTTTCAACCACTTTCAGCCTCATATCTCCCGCACCCTTATAGCTATCGAGACGCGACCACCCCTATGCACGAATAGAGACTTGGGCTACTACCATATACAAACACCATTCACATGCAATGTGTAGTTTTTGCGAAAAAGTGAAATATAGGGACATACATGTCCATTTATATATATATATATATAATGATCACAAAAATTTTTTTTGCTCAGAAAAGTATATGTTCTGCTCATCGACAAAAAAAATTAGAGGGAACATTGATCCCGAGCCCCACAGCTCATAACAATATTGTAACCATATAAATTGTTGTTGTGATATATGGTAATAATTTAGTTTAATAAAATTTGTAACTAATATAGTAAAATAATAGAATGTTCAGTTTTAATAAAACATGTGACAAATTAGAATACTTTGTTCTGAAAAGTTTCAGTAAAGTGCAAAGTATTGCTCATGCTGTTACAATTTATTGTAATTTGAGAGTAAACAATTCATTATGAACCAAGTTAAAAAAACTGCAATTCAAATCACATGCACACACACCCATCTTTTGCTTTTACAAGTTTTAATAAAAAATTTTCTTATCAAAATTGTTAAAACAAATAATAAAATATTACTATTAGTTCTTTTTAACTATGTATAGCAGAGTACAGTAGAGTCTCGAAAACTTGGCCTAATGTGGACTGAAGGGTGGCCGGATTATCGGGAATGGGGTTAAAAAAAATAAGTATGAGTGTTTCCTCAGAAAATTCTGTACTGTACTTGTATGTATTGTTTACTTGAGAATACAACAGAGAATAAACTGCCCAAATACCGTTAAACAAAGGAAAAGTACGTCCTTTATGAAGGCATAGAGCCTTTACTACATGAAAATGAAAATTAATGAATACACTGTGTACAGTAATTTACCTGATAAGACAGACCTCAGAAAAATACTTTATGAGGCATAAAGCTGTCTATGATGAAAATTAATTAACTAAGGATTTTTTTGCCCTTCCAGGGTGTGGCCGAGTTATCCGGACTGCCGGGTTATCGAGTGCCGAGTTTTTGAGACTCTACTGTATTTAGAATGTTCTTTTTATTTAATTATTTTAATAGTGTAATTATCAAGTAAGTACTTTCACTCTGAAAAATTGACTATACAAATTTTAATTTCTATTCTATCTGAGTTATATTAGAATTGTGTATTTTGAGAACAATTTAAGTACTTAATAAAAGATTCAACATTATATTGCATTCATCTTTAATTTGTGTATTAAATAATAGAATAGTTGGATATTACATTTTAATTAGATTAACAAAGCTCAGTCAGTATATTTGTATTTTTGATATAAATAACAATAGGTACAGTGGTACCTCAGGATATGAATGCCCCAACATACGAAATTTTCAGGATACAACATGAAATTCGAACATAATTTTGCTCCATGGTACGAACAAAAATGCGCCATACGACATTACATTAGTTCACAGCGCCATTTTTTATTCGCTTCTGTTCATTGGTCTCAGTCCGTGTGTTTGCTTCATCGGCATCCTTGCTCGAAAAAAGGAAATCTTGAGGTATTATCAGAAAGTGACTGATTTTATTGAAAAGAAACATCCTGAAAAGGTTCACACTGGTCGTATTGCTACTCAGAGTAATGACATTTGCCTAAGTCATTTTAGAAGCATTTTAAAAAGTATGCAAAGCCAAACCTCTTTGGATAGATATTTTACCAAGTGAACTCTATCCAGTGAAAGTGCTGGTGGAAGTGAAGGAAAGAAAGCAAAAAGCAGTGAATAAAAAATTTAAAAAATATATATAAAACAGAAAAGTCAAAAAATTAGTGTTAAGTTATTATTACATTATGTTATGTAAGTTAAGTTTTAGTATCATTTCCCTTCTCCCTCTCTTCTGCCACCAGTTTGCCTTTGAGGATAGATGTTGGTGGAGGTGTAAAGTGCAAATAAAACTACATTTTTTTAAAATCAATTATTATTCTATTATGGTTATTTATACATTTACAACTACAAAATGCATTTTTCAGTGTTTTCCTTACTAAAGTTATTTTTTTTCAATGTACTACTTAGCTTTAATTTGAGTGTTTTTTTCATGTTGGAACCAATTATTTGGTTTTACATGTAATCGTATGGGAAAAAATGATTCACCTTACGACATTTTCATGATATGATCTCAGTTTTGGAACAGATTAATTTCATATCCTGAGATACCACTGTATATTGAAACAAGAGCATACACCGATTGCAAACATTTTGTCTAACCAATCAAAATTTTATTGATATTTTAAAAGAATATCTATTAATTGTATTTTTTATGTAAATAGATACCTATGAAGAGGTGGAATCCTATCAGCTGTAAACAAAGTCTTCCTGGTTGAAACAACATTTGTACTTTTAGAGCAGTCACAGAAAACTTGAATTGCAAGATTTGGTAGTCTATTTTCTATAACAACCACTAATCCTGCCCAGTTTTTTGTTAAATAATATGCTGTCATTCCTTTTCTTCCCTGAAATAAAGAAAATTACAATAACATATGAGAAGGTTTACACAAATCTAGTTTTTTCTGCACCTATGTGCAATAGAAATCTGCATGCACAAGTTGCTTATTTGATTTTGAATATTCTTTGAAATGGAAGACCTAAAAGATGTTGAACGAAGTAAACTTTTCATTTGGAACATTTTGATTGTAAGGGCATTCTAAAAAGTATAGAGTGAAGAGAAGAAAATGTGATCTAGAGCTGAAGGAAGTGGAAGAAAAACATTAACTTTTAAATGCCAATCTTGCTGATGTAGGGCATTTTAGCAGTAAATTAGAAACCCAACACATGCTGATACATTGGCTTTTAGAAATTCTTGGAATTTTTCCATTATGACATTTCTAAGAAGAATTTGTTTACCAGTGGAAGGTTCTAGGTCTAATGAACATATTTCCTACTAGATGGCATTATTGTGTTTAAGACAATTTTTCGAAAATTGTCACTATTTTGATTTCATTTCTTATCCTGCACAGAGTGTTTTCCTTGTTTCTTGAGGTAGTACATTCTAGTTTACTTCACTTATTTTATATAGTATATTACTCTAATATTAGTTTTTTAATTTTTATTTATTATATAGATTGAGAAAGGTTCAGATTCAGGTGTAAAGTGCAAATAAAACTAAATTTTTTTAAAATCAATTATTATTCTATTATGGTTATTTATACTACTCATCTTTACCACAACACCGGAGAATAGTAATTATATTATTATATGGTTATTTATACATTTACAACTACAAAATGCATTTTTCAGTGTTTTCCTAACTAAAGTTTTTTTTTTCAATGTACTGCTTAGCTTTAATTTGAGTGTGTTTTTTGTGTTGGAACGAATTATTTGGTTTTACATGTAATCGTATGGGAAGTATAGATTTAGGCTGGCAGAGATGGAAATCAGAAACACTAACATAGTGCAGATAATCTAAAAAATTATCCAAAAATTAAAAATTTATGATATCATGCTAAAAATTGCACTATTTTCTCTTATTGCACCGGTTTTTTCTATCAGGAACATATCACAGTTTTTGACTTAAGTTTAAAAGCATAGTTTTAAAAAATAAATTTCAGATTTGAAAACAAAAAAAAAAATTATATATTTACTGTCATTATTTTCTTTGTTTTCAGCTTTAATTATTTGTAATGATTTTATAGCTTATTTTTACATTATGACATTGGCAACACAACAGCAAAAAAAAGGTGTGGGTAAAGAGCTGAACCCCCATGGTTCAGAGCTGAAGCTTATTTGTTTAAGAAAAGTCAATCAACATAAAAAGTACTAACCCAGCTTACAAGAAGTTTAACAACCAATAATTTACAAGTTCTCCTATAAACTTATAATTGAAGAGAGTTTTGCAGCAAAATTTATGGATGTTATTGCTAAAGCTCGGAAACTCATTAATCTGCAGATTAACTAGGGTGATCCGTTAAAGTTGCTAAAATTGTTCTATTTCTCAAATTACCTAGGTAATGTGCAGATTATCTAGTTAATCTGCAAATTACCTACTAGGCACTCAGTAAAGTGAAAATAAGATCTTTGCTGAAACAACAGCAACGTTTCTGTACGCTTAAATTAACATAATGTTCTTTATTTAATTTTCGATATCTAAAGAATCAAGTTAATACAATCAAACAATCGACAAATTAGTTGATAGAATCAATCATCAACCAATTAAAAAACATACAAAAAATCAAACGATTTAAAATATTAATACAATTAGGGAAATTATTATATAGATAACCACCTATGGAATTTCGGGACTTTGAGTATCTATCTGAACTGAGGGGACCGAGACGACTTCAACGATACCCTACTTTTGGACCGGAGACGAAAAATAATAAAGTTATCATACTTTTTCTGGTGATCGCATGATATAATTGTGCAGTTAATGTTACCTATGGTGAGTAAAATGGCGGCTCGTCTCTGATTCCAGCAAAGAGAAGAAAGGAAACAGTGGGGACGCACGTTCTGTCCTAACCTAACCTATTTTAATAAATTACCATAATTATTACCAACCAAATTATTAGAATAGGTTAGGTTAGGTTTGAACGTGCGTCCCCACTGTTTCCTTTCTTCTCTTTGCTGGAATCAGAGACGAGCCGCCATTTTACCCACCATAGGTAACATTATCCAATTGTGCAGTCTAAAGATTGGTGACACTTTGAATTTCATAGCAATTGGTTTCTGCGACAGGCACACCTATTTGTGGTACATTTATTTGTGGCAAAGATCTTATTTTTACTTTACCGAGTGCCTAGTAGGTAATGTGAGGATTACCTAGATACTCTGCACATTATCTAGGTAATTTGAGAAATGGAACAATTTTCACAACTTTAATGGATCACACTAGTTAATCTGCAGATTAGCTAGGTAATCTGCAGATTAATGAGTTTTGAGCTTTAGCGGTAACATGGACACTGTGAAAAGTAACAAAAAACCTTATTCTTGAAATAAAATCAGTCAATACATACATTAGCCAATCTGTGCTTAAAACACCCTGAACTGGAATATGATGAGTCCAAACAGATAAAAAAATTTGCACTTTAAAAGGAACTTTACTTTGAAAAGTAAAAATTTTTCTATAGTGCAACTTAAAGCATGAAGATAAAAACCTGTCAATAATATTTATATCAAAATGTAAAGAACAAAATTCCTGAGTTTAGCAAAAATAAATATATCATATTTCATGTAAAGAAAACAAATTGTTTTTTAAATCTGACTATTGATAAATTTTTTATAGTATTTCTATTGCAAATTTTTTATCTGAATTTTTACATGTTTGTTAAAAAGTTTTCAAATAAAGCTGGTAAACTTAGGTGTTTGACCCTTGGGTACTGTGGACATCCCCAGGTAAACAGGTGGGAACAAAGGGATTCAAATGACAGGTTAGCTGCTTATATTTTGCCATTGATAAGATGGACCCAGTCTCTCTATAAGCTTGATTGAAAGTTTAAAATCCTACATGCACATGAATGAGATATTAAAGGATAGGAATATTATTGTTATGAAAAGGATTTCTGCATACAAATACATCATAAAGCAGTTTTGAGAGATCTGTAGCCCCAAAAAACAATCTGGACATCGTTATGGATAACAAGTCTTATTTTATGCTGGATGGCTATATGCAGGAAATAAAAAGACTTATATGCCAGCAGTGAAGTTCAAACATCATGCTAACAAAAATTTTGGTGTGGGTAAGCTCTTACAGGTAGTCTTTGTTGCATTATCTATACAGATTTTATAATACATACAAATTGTTGAGCAGAGTGATGAGGAAATGAGACTAGAATCAAGCAAAGTCAATTTAATGTAATGAACACATCAATTTTCAGATGCACAGATGCACATTAGAATCAAGCAAACACAGTATATTATAGTAAATCTAGAAACATTTTTCACAATGACTTCAAAAGGTAAAAACAATTACAAGTTTTACTTTCAAATAATTTGTTAAATAAATTCTAAAAAGTAATTTATATTGGATTTATTTGATGATAAAACTTTTGAACTAACACTTCTCAAATTAAATCTTGCTGGAATTCAATTAAAGCTCTTTTTATAATTAATATTTAAATCTACACACATCTATCGATTGGAGATCTTCAGATCTGTATATTTAATGGAGTGTTTGAATAGAACAATGAGGTTTTTTGAAAAATTAAATGAAATAATTCTCAAATACATAAAAGAGCAAGGTATCAAAACTAAAAAGTAAATATTCAAAAATTATTGAGTATCGTAATAAGATTATTAGGAAATTTGGTAAAACTATTTTTCCTATCAGAAATATACATATACAAAAGACATAATGATGATATTACTAGTAAAGTAAGTCGCATTGAGAAACATGAAACTATGTTTATTGATGTAGTTAGCCTGGGAAAACAGTTTGAGCAGTAATAATATGTCACAAATCAAAGATTATAAGTGATTTATCTTTGAGAAAGGGGTACAGATAAAAAAAAAGTGTAATAAAGAAATTAAACTCAACTAAAGTAAAAATAAAATCAGTTTGCATTTAAGCAGGAAAACTCTTGGATAAATGGAGTTGCTCGTTAAAACCATCTATGTTTGAGAGTTTATCTAGTCTGGACTGAGGGAACTGCATCTCAAACGTAATGTCTGTGAGTTGTTTGATACGGCTAAAAAAATTTATGTAACTCCAAATATATATTGAAAATTTCCAATGTGATGAGAGGAAGAAGTTGAGCCTAACTGCTGACATGTTGGTGAAAGGAAATGACAATTCGTTTAAATTGGTACTGGCCTGGGCATGCAGTTACAGCAGAGGCAATTGAAGAGCTAGGTAATGTGATGCCATCTAGTGGGGATGAGGGATGTAATTCTAATCCTATTTATTAGAACTCTGATAACTTTGGAGAATTTTGGTTGAACTACAGAAAACTCTGGAAAAATATGAAGCAACTGTATTGCCTTATACTCCAAAAAGCAGCACCCAAAAATGTCAAAATACTGTTTTGTTATTAAGCACCCAAGGCAAAAGTCGACATTTTTGTTTTTTGAATATACCTTTTCTCAGAGTCAATTATATTTTCCAGAAAGTAATTTATGCACATGTCAGAATTCTACTGAGCATTTTGACACCAAAATATAACAGAATTTTTTTTTTTTAAATTCAGGCACGAAAGCACAAAAGTTACCCCAATAGCATGGGCGAGCAGTAAGCGAACAGGCTAAATAATAATATACAGAAGAAAAAAACAAACTAATAACTTCATACAACAAATGAACAACTATCCCTATGATCTCACTATTAAATTAGATCAAGCCTGGAAGTACAGTACATTTCCTGGTTTAACATTAAAAAATAACCAGATCCATACAAAATAAAAAATAACCAGATTGCACTTACTAAACCTTTATTGTCCGGTACTTGTAAACTATTCGTAAAAACAAACGTTTTCGGCCTCATACAAGGTCTTCTTCAGGTTAAAATAAATGGATTACATTCTTAGAATGAACGTTTAGTTTTATTAAAGTTCATTCTTAGAATGAACGTTTAGTTTTATTAATTTAAGAATGGAATCCAATTATTTTAACCTGAAGAAGACCTCTTGTAAACTATTCGAAAACGTTTGTTTTTACGAATAGTTTACAAGTACCGGACATTAAAGGTTTAGTAAGTGCAATTTTATCAGAATACCAGTATTCAGAATAGAAGATTTTTGAATAACCAGATCCATACAAATGTTTATTATAAACCAACATACACACACTTGTTTATATCTGCAAGTTCCCATGACCCATATACTGTATGATTTGGTTAGGGCCCTAAAACCATTGTATAAATTATTCTGACACAGTCAAAGAACTAGAACACCTTGAACAAATAACTACAACAAATGGTTACAGCAAGAACCTTATCAGGGATTTAGCCAGTGCACTTTCCAACAACATTCACAACTTGGACTCTAAGGTTGAAAATCCATATGATCAACATAGGAATACGAGACATCATCCTAGACTATAACCACAACATGTTACCACTATAATTTGGTCTCTTTTAGACTTGCTAACTTTCAGGTGCAGCCCTAACAACTTTAGCATTCTTAGGAATGGAATAGAGAAGACTAACATGCTTAGGATACCAGGGTATATAAAATTCCTATGAAGGATGATTGATATTGGCTACAAACTTCAGAGATATTGTGATGGAATTGATGTGTTTAACATAAAACTAGATAAACACAAACTGATATTTACAAAAAGAAACACAATGCCTTCCTTGACATTGTGGGAGTTTGGAATGTAAGAGACAAGGTATTCCAACAAATTTCAATAAACGAACAGTTTATTACAAACAAAATTAACAACCAAGATACTGATGCCCGTCAGAGACGAAACTACATAGATAGATACAATCGGTCTCTGCTCTCGTTCAGGTTCTTACAGGAAATTATTATCGCGTGATCGTATTCTAAAAACTAACTTATAACTAACTTAACCTAATACTACACTAGTAAGAAAAAAAAGGAAGGAAGGAAGGAGAAGAAGTCTACCAGTAGTTAGCACAGGGGTCCTGATCGGGGTGGTCGATAACTATGGGGATTTTATCAGTCGACATCGGATTATATACCATTTCTCGTATGGTAATCTTCACTGGGATTTAAGTATATACTCAGCTCTCATCGGAACAAGTCCCTGGTCCTTTTCTGGACTCCTTTCCACTTGGTCCTCTCGGCCTTTTTCTTTGTCAACAGATTCCAACGAACTATACCGACGACTCGTCCAACACCTCTTCTCTTGGTGTCCAAAGCCAAACTGTCCTTTCTTCTCACCCCTTTGTCTACACTCACCAACCCCATGGGCAAGCCCCTCCGTGTCCTCGTTGGCAAAACCACCAATCAGGACCCACGAAATTCTCGCTCCTGTCGGGTGACCGGAAATGGTTATTAGTGAAAGAAGAGGAAGGAAAGGAAAGAACAAAGGAATTCTAAATATAAATACTATAGCTATTTGTACAAAATGGCAGACAGCCACAACATAGCTTCCATCCTCAAGATCAAAACATTCTGCCTCCATCAGGATACTTGAAGCATTGGAGATATCTAAATCTGACAAAAAGGTCCATTGCATTAATTTTAAAGATAACACCCATTACCTTATGCATGACAATCCCTATATTATCACGTGGCAACTACGTAATATCATGATGTAGGAACATTATATAAATATAAATGAGAACATTTTTCTATAATTTTTGAGTGTTTACTTTTTAGTTTTGGTACTTTGCAAGTATTTAATTTTATATCTATTTTTATCTATTTATATTCAATATCATTGTTTTATTCAAGCATTCCATCATTGAATATATGGACCTGAAGAAGAATACGTGTAGTCGAAAGCATTAGTCCAAAAGTTTTATTTCAAAGTAAATCTTGCTGGAATTCAATTAAGGCATTTTGATAGATGTATTTATTGCTGTATTATTCTAGTCTCCCAATTGATGATGTAACTCAAAATATTAATTTTAAAATGAATCATACCTCATGTCTTGCTCCTTTTGCTATGGCTAAATTAATGATGGAATCAGCAAATACATGTTTAGGTGATAATGCTTTTTTCATTTGAAGACATTTTGAACTTTGTATGACTAGATGACTTTTAGGATAGTCTTCAGATTTTACATCTGGAAATAAAAATTTCATAATGAAATTTTTGCCATTTATTATTATTTCTAGCTGATGTATCCAGCAATGGTGTTTTTTTTTTTTTACAAAAACATTGAATAGTTTGAAAAACCACATAGGTACCAACTAAGAAAAGCTTATACATGTACTGTTTGATTATACCCCAAATTTTGCATTGTGTTGTATTCCAGTATTGCACCATTGAGGTGCAGTAGGTCTTCGAGTGGTCAAGACGTGCGAGAGTGAGCTCCGACTTATGATCGCCGCATCCGGATTATTGAGCTTCAATCCGAGGATTAATTCACACCGTTGGATTCATCTCATCATTATCTACCGTTTGACGTCTAGTTTTTCCGGTTTCGTCCAGGGGGACAGGCATTACGACACCCGGAAATTCCAAGTTTTTTGACCGCCTTCTTCGGGTGGTTTTTACCGGTGAGTGGTTGAGTAATATATCATCCTTCTCGCCTTTTCAAGGGCTCTCCAACGCCGTCGTCGGTCTTTTGATCCGTCGTTTTAATCGTGTTCTTTCTCGATCGGAAGTTGTTTCAGATCGGGCCGTCCCACGGGCTTCTCGGGCCACCGATCCTTACCATTTTCGGGTAGTTCTTTGGCCATACCCTTGTCTTCGTCTGTATAAATTTCTGTGTCGCCACGGTTAATAGTTTTAAAGTTATACTAGTTTTCATATCTTCATTGAACAAAGAAGTGAAAGGTCATTGACCTTTGCACGTGGTCGGCTCACTTCACCCTTCGTGCTCCTTCCGCCGATCAGCGTCTGTAGCTGCTTGACGGCTTTCACGTGATTCTCATCATGGCTTTCCCAGAAAAGGACCTATTCGAACAACTCACAGCCAGTCTTAACATTATTATGGAAACTATTCCGTCGAATTCACAGGGTACTATAACTACCAAGGGCCGAAAAGGCGTACGGGAGGCGGCCATGAACATGCATGCAGTGGCTAATAGCCTATACGGGATGGTGCTTGCTCTACGATCTAAACCGCAAACCAACCAAGAAAGCTACGCTAGCATAGTAAAAAAAAGCAAATTTAATTGTAGTCAAACAACCAATATGATCAGTGAAGTGATGAGCAATGCCTCCCAACAAAACTCTAATAAGGACTTGATCATAGAGCCAATTGAAACTGCCGAGGGAGAGAGACTGTGCCCAGAAGAGGTCATGGACTCCCTCCAAGAAAACATAGATCCTAGAACCTTAAACATAGGTGTAAAATCTATCCAGACCCTCCCTAGCGGTAGCCTCAAAGTCCGGGTAAAGACAACCCGTGATTTGGGTAGTCTCAAAGAAGCAATAGAAAAAATACCGGCAGTGAACAGTAAGGTTAAACTATCAACCCCTAGACTAAAGAAACCGAAGATAATAATATTAAATGTCCCCCAGAAGGAAGACAAGGCAACATTTATACATAATATCTACGAACAGAATGAGGAAATCTGGGAAAAACTTTCTCTTGAAACCTTTACCAAAGAAATAAAAATAACACATACGATTCAGTCTAGGACGAAAGAAGAACATAGACACGTGGTATTGGAAGTATCCCCAGGGCTTCGAAACGTTCTAATCCGATTAAAATATCTAAGTTATGGATGGAGCTCACTGATCG